GATTTCCTAGACCTAAAGCATTTCTTCCAGAGCAAGTCTACTAGCTGTGAACTCTCAATTTTTGTTTAATTGAAATACCATAATTTCTTTCATTTTTGAGCTATAGTTTTATTGTATATAGAATTCTTGATTAATACATATTTTTAGCACTTTATATATGTCATTCTGGTACCTTCCAGTTTCCATGACTTCTAATGTTAAACTAGCTATTAATATTATAGAGAATCCCTTGTACATTCCGAATTGCTTCTCTTTCAGCTTTCAGGATTTTCTCTATCTTTCAACTATTTAGTTATCATATTCCTAGGTGTGGAGGTCTTTGAATTTATTTTGCTTAGGATTTATTGAGACCCTGAATGTGTACTGTATGTTCATGTCTTTCACTGAAGTTTGGAAATTTTTAGCCATTTTTTACTCAAAATTTTTTTTCTGTTCTCATCTCCCTTCTCCCTCTCGGACACTCCTTATGTTGGTACTCTTGGTGGTAGCCTGCCAAGGCTCTTTTCATTTATTTATATTCTTTTTCATGCTCCTCATACTCGTTATTCTCAATTTATCTTTTTTTAATTTTATAAATTTCTTTCTTCTGCCTGCTTAAATCATTTATTGAGCCTTCTATAGAAAAATTTTTATCTCAGTTATTGTATTTTCCAAGCCAGAATTTCTCTTTGGTTTCTTTTTAAAATTTCTGTCTCTTTATTGCTATTATAAATTTGGTGAAACATTATGCTCATACTTTCTTTAAGTTCTTTATACTTGCTCTTGAGCATATTAAAATACTTTATAATCTTTGTCTAGTAAGTCTATGTTTGAACTTCCTTGGGGGCAATTTCTATTAATTTATTTTTCCCCATATGTGAACCAGATTCTCTTGTTTCCATGCATGTTTTATAATTTTTAATACAAACTGGACATTTTGAATATATAATGTGGTAATTAGATTCTTCCACCACACCAGGGTTTTTGTTTGTTTGTTTGTTTCTTTGGTTGACATTGTTTAGTGACTTTTCTAAACTAAATTAGTCAAGTAGATATTCTTTGCTGTATGTGGGCACTGAAGTCTCCATTTCATTAGCTTAGTGGCCAGCTAATGATTCAGCAGAGATTTCCTTAAAGGTTTAGAAAAACCCATCCACAGTCCTTGCTGGTGGGTTCCTATATGTTGTGATATGCATTTAACCCTTAGCCAGGCAGTTTACAACTCTTAGTTAGCCTAACCATGAGACAGTAGTGGGAATTGTGGGGTTTTTTCAGAAGACCCTAAATACCCTTTCTGAGTATGTACTGCACCTTGGGTATGCACATGGTCTTATGGTTTCTAAGAAATATGAGGGAGCTTTACAAAAGCTTATATTTCTAAAGCATCTACTCCCTAATCTTTTTTCTCAAGCTTTTTGATATTTCTATGGTATATCCCAATTGCTATCCCTTGCCCTGAATGGCACCAGTTTTTGCCAGATTATTTGTTGTTTCTGTGCAGGTACAGGCCCTTGGAGTTTCCTACTCTTCTATTTTAGCTGTTGTCCCATTGTACTGTTACAATTTTGACAAGCATATTCCTTTCACAGTTGTTGTTTTTTAAAGAATGACTATTTGTCTCTTCTTTATAGAGGTCATCCAAATATTAACATAATTCATGTCCAGCTTGCCAAAGAACCTTATCCAATTTAGAAAGAAAATAATTATGGCAATTGAACCCAGTAGATCTTCTGATGTCTACTGTGTCAACGATGGTTAATTCATCCATAACCCTTTCAAAATTATTTCTCTGCAAGCCAGAGAAGCAAAAGATCTGTAGAGGAGATGTATGTTCTAACATTTAGTTCTCTAGTAGAAATATGATGTAAAATGTGTTAGAAAAGCTAGCATATCTGAGTCTTTACTCTTAAAAATGCAATTGACTATATTCACATTGTAATTATGTGGATGTTTTCTGTGTAGTTTATCAAATTAATAAGAATGTTGTTCTTTTACCTTTTTTGAATTTAAAAAATCCCCCACGGTATTTGTTTCTAATATTTGTGAACTCCAGAATTACTTGTTGACTACTTCTTAAAATTAGATGAATTAACCCTGGCCAGTTTGGCTCAGTGAATAGAGTGTTGGCCTGTGGATTGAGGGGGTCCCTGGTTTGATTCTGGTCAGGGGCATGTTCCTTGGTTGCAGGCACATCCCCAGTGGGGGGTGTGCAGGAGGCAGCTAATTGATTTTTCTCTCTCATCAATGTTTCTAACTTTTTATCCCTCTCCCTTCCTCTCTCTAAAAAATCAATAAAATATATATGTATTTTTTAAATAGATGAATTAGTGGGAAACAGTATCAGAAAAAACTCATGAACTTGATATGCCAAGTATACTGCGTATATAGTTATGTACCACATAATGACATTTTGGTCCATGATGAACTGCATATACAACAGCAATCTCATAAGATTTTAATGGAGCTGAAAAATTCCTATTGTCTAGTGTTGTCATAGTTGTCCTAACATCATAGCATAATGCATTACTCACATTTTTATGGTGATGCTGGTATAAACAAACATACTGCTCTGCTGGTGGTATAAAAGTAGAGCACATATAATTTTGTGCTATATGTACTACTTGATAATGATAATAAATGACTATGTTACTGGTTTATGTATTTACTATATATTTTTTTAAAAGAATGTTGTTCTTATTGCCTTTTCAAAGTTGTCACCCTTTGTGAAGTGGCACAGCCCAGATCTACTAACTGATCCCAAAGAGCCAACAGAGCTCTGAATATGATGCAATATTTTCTGGGGTTTAATTCTATTTTCATCTATTTATTAGCATTATGAACTTAAGCAAATTACTTTAACCTCTCTCTGCCTCACCTCACCAGTAAAATGGGCCTGGTAACAACTATCCTAATGTCATAGCGTTGTTAAAAAGGTAAAATAAGTTAATATTCACTAAGTAATTAACTAAAATTAAATACATAAGCTAGTTTGAGGTACTACTTATTTAGAGCGTCTTTGTAAGAAAAATTCCGAGGTTTTTAGTTCTATCTTATTGGTGAAGTGGAGCTTATTGGTAAAATAATGCTATGAGGCAAATTTTTAAGAGGAAAATAGGCAGGCAATATTGGTGTGTAGCTGAGAGGCTCATTCTTTAGGAGATAATGATATCTACAGGTGGGTGCAAAACCAAAGATCATTACACATTACAAGAATGGTCTCCTAATGTAATGACCTGGGCGACTAGGAGGATGGGCCAACGTAGTGGGAGATGAAGCTAAATTATTGGAAAAGACAGTGATGAAGGCACTTGGGAGTTATCAAAAGGTTTAAAATAGAGCCATCTAGGCACACTTCCATTTAAGATACACATTGTGGAAAACAAAGTTTGGAGGATTGCGTTCAGCATGGCAAGACTCGGAGAAGGGAAACGCCTTAAGTGGCTATAAGCCATTTTTATTTTTAAGTAAGTCATAGTTGCTCCATAATAAGCATGTTCTGATTTTGTAGCACAAGAAAATATATAAACTCTTACTTTATAAGAAATCTACACTTTAGGAATTTCTCAGTGTGATATAGTCACAACTTAATACCATCTAAAATTAAAGTCCCAAATTATTATTCATTTGACACGACCTCTTTGCTCAACAAAATTTCTGTCACAGATTTTCAGTAAGTATTCATCCTTTTCTACACTATGTCCCCTATTATTTAGGTATAGGGAATACATTAATTCCATTTAACAAATTAGAGTGAAAATTATAACCATATTATCCACAAAACTTACTTGATGCTAATTTTATAGCTCCTCAGCCCTCTAAAAGTCACAGAAATATTCACACCTCAGCTGAACTTTTTAAGTTGATTGATAGCCTCTAGCAATAAATTCCAGAATATTGGTAATGGTTTATAAAGAAAAGCTTAACAGACTAATTGTCTCACTTTGCCTCTTTTCAACTCTCTTTTAACAGCTATTTAGTCCTAGATATACAGATTCTTGTTTTGGTTTGGTTTTTCAGTCATTTGAACTTTTTTAGTAGTTTAAGGAATTAATTGGACAAATATTCAGCTATAAATTGAGATAAAACTTAATAAGCAATTTTATTATTTGTCCCACTCTGAACATGTTAATCATTGGAATAACTTTTAAACTTCATGGAAATAAAATTTTAATCCCAACTTCACAGTGTTCTTTGTTATTTCATTATTATTATTTGTTATTGTATTTTGTAATTGCCATGTAAAGTGTTTACCTGTGCAAGCAGGATTACATAAAATATAATTTTAACATCCACTTAATTCAAAGTATTTTTATTGAACTATCATGATCTTTCAAATATATTTAAACTATATTAGTAATACATAAGTAGTGGGCAAATTTATTTCTGCAAACCAGATTCTAGAAACTTGACACCATTAAAAACACCCTTTAAAGTACTAAAAACAAATGTGTTAAGTACAATATACATAACACATAATTATTTTGGATAAATGCATATTTAACTGCCTTCAAATAGGCATGCTTCTGACATGAATTGAGATTCCATAGGTTGTTTTTTTATGGTAAATTCAATACAAATAACAATGAAGAAACCACATATAGTAGACCTTAAATTCAGAAACTGGCTTTAAGATTCTCAAATAAAGACATTTGAAGGCATACAGATGTATTAATTTTTAATTCGTTTCTTTTTGATAACTTAATTACTGAAAAAGATTTATTGGTTAATTTTAGGAAGGCAAGTGTTTGAAAAGTGTTTTGAATCAACCTGGTGATTGCCAAATACTCTTCTTTAAGTGACTGTGTAGTAATGAAAAGTTAAGATGAGAGCCAAATTAGATTGAATAATTGTTCAGTCATGTGGGACAGGCCAGTTGCATAGCCTGACTGATTGCTCAGATTACATTGCCTGGGGTCCTGCACTTGGTTGGCTGTCTTCTCAGATCTTAACAAGGTTCTGGGAATTTCTTTTTCTGACAAAGTTTGCTTTGTGTGTTTTTCACCTCCCCCCACCACCTCCAGGATGCTTCATCTGCAGACATTAGAAAAGCATATCGTAAGCTTTCATTAACTTTGCATCCAGACAAGAATAAAGATGAAAATGCAGAAACTCAATTTAGACAAGTAAGTGAAATATACTATTACGTTTTGTGACAAATTTATAAAGGTTTATGGTAGAAATAGTAACATATATAGAATAATCTTATTTGGAAATGAGGATGTTGTTTAGAAATATAATGTATGTACATTTATTTAATTTTTATAAAATATGATTTTACCAGTATTTTTTATTTTAGAATCTCTGAATTCTTGGAGTGTCATAATTTTCTTGTCTACATTACAGCTTTTGCTTTTAAAAAGCACATATTAAGATAATTATTACTTTTGCATCTTTCACAAATATTTATTTTGGTATCAAGCATTGGTACTAGTAACCTTTTAAGGTTTTACTAAAAACAAAAAAATGTTACTTCTAATTAAGATCTTACCTATTCATTTTACTTATAAGCACATAGGGTTTTCTGCATGTGCATTATGGCATGTTCACCTTCTTAAGTGATTTCTTATAGTTGAGAGTATTTTTATTTTAAAGTAATGCTTCTCTTTTAGTTGGTGGCCATTTATGAAGTTTTAAAGGATGATGAACGAAGGCAGAGGTGAGTATTCATTTCTGTTTTTGAATTAATATTTTTGATGTCTCAGTTTTTACAGGGAAAAATTGTCTCATTAAACAGTTTGTTTATTATAAGTAAATGTTTTTTGTTTTTGCCAAGGTATGCAATATTTTTAAATGCATATTTAGAGTTACGTAATATGGAAATTTTTCACCAGGTTGATTCAATACTTATACGAGTAAGTATATTAGCAAGTTGTGACTTCATTAGATAAGATGTTTAACAAGTGTCTAGGCCTTGGGAAATACAAATACCACTTGACTTCAAACAAATGTCTTTTCATTTTTATATATGTCAGAAATAGCTCTTATCTGTGTCTTGTGGTCCTTTTTGTTCTTTTCAATTCCTTAAATGTTTTGGAATTGGACTGTTAAGTGATATTCAAGTTATTACCATCTCGATGTTTCCTCACTCACAAAATAATAAATACAATTTTGGGGTGAGCGAACAAACTTATATGAGTATGTACCTACAAGATAGGAATGAAAGAAAAATATTTGCTTCTTTCTCCTATTTCTTTTGTCCCCTTCCTTTCCCTGCCCTTCCCTTCCTCTGCTCCAGTGATCCTGCATTTAGGGTTAGTTAGTGCAGGCAACCCCTCACTTGGAGACTTCTCCGTGCCCCTTCAGAAGAGCAGTAATATGTTCACACAGCGGTGCATAGTGCTAATGATTTAAGAGGAGTCTGCAGAGAGGCTCCTCTTCTCTACTTCAGAATGTGTGGAATGTAGACAGTACTGCAATGGGCTTCAACGTGTTTTCAGTCAAACCCACAGTAGGAAATACATTCTGCATCATGCTTCAGGACAGACAGACATACGTGAAACAAAAATTTCACAAAACACTTTTTGTATGTGTGTGAAACAGACTGATGTTTTCTATTCTAGGTTAGGCTATTCTAATCATTTTTCTTTTTAAGACAATGCTGGTTGTCACCATTAAATTGATTTCATGAGTCACTAGTGGGCCACAATCTGCAGTTTGAAAATGCTGCTCCACACTAAAAGAGTACCTTTAAAGAAAGAAGTCGGTATTTGAGATTTTAGGCTAAGGCCAGCTAATATGGGTGTTAATATATCTTAAAGATAACCTCCCAGAATGATGCTTTGTAGCATTCTGAATCTTTCTTCAAATATATTATCTGGAATTATTCTATATCCTAAAATGTTAGCTACCACTTTTGGTCCTCACCCGAACTCTTTAATTTGAATACCTCAGTTTGTCAGATTGCAAAGCAAGGATTCAAGATATTCTCTTGAAGTGCTCTTTGCTTTATAACAAGGGCTGGCATTGGTCCAGACACCATAGCCAACATTCCTCTGGTTTGAGATAATCCATAGTGTTGAAAGAGTCCTAGAAGTATGTTGAAAGAAGTGCTGATTATTCTGTGCATATTTTCTAGTTGGTTTCTCTCACTGAGCCCCAAGTTTTGTTTTACACATCAAGAATGTGTCTGTAAAGATAGCTTTATTTAGTCTCCCTACATCTTTGGCATCAGATTTGGGCTTTTTGTTTGTTGTTTTCTTAAAAGTTAGTAAACTTTGTAACAATTTCTTTTAATTGCTGAAATTATTTCTCTCTTTTCAGAACAAATCACTTCTTATTTATAAACTCATCTAACATTTTCTTTTTAGGATTAGTTTCCTTTGCATTTCTTTTAGAGTGTTAATAGAAACAATGGGTCTGACAGTTATACCAACAACTGTAGTATTTATACCCCTTTAGGGACAAGTAGCTCTTGGGTAACTGGTTTTCCCTGAGGCAAAAGTCTTAACTAATTAAGCTAAGAACCACTCCTCTAAAGCTTGTGCCTTAGGCTAGGTGACCCATGAGTATTTAAACATATAGAAGAAATCACCTCTACAATTACCTAATGTTTATAATTCCTTTAGGGGGAAGAAAAAAAGAATAGTTTTATCTTCTAAAAGAAGGTTGTCTTATACTGGTAAAAAAAAAAAAAATGTTTTTGGTAACCCAATTATTTATTATGAAAATATTCTTAAATAAATGCTTTTAAAAATAACTTTCATTAATTTGCTATTTGGAAAATTGTCATAGACATATTTTCTTATTTATTTTCCTAACATAATTGTATTTTACTGAAATCAGGTGCATTATTTAAATTTTGGTAGAAAAGGGGATAGCAGTGAAATAAATAAAATAGCAAACTGGATAACCTTTTTACTTTTTTAAGGAAAATGCAAACTTTATTTTTTAAACAGTCTTTATTTAGATATATCTTAAAGATAATTTCCCAGAATGACTTGTGTACCATAAAAGTCACTTATATGAAGTATACAATTCAGTGTTTTTTGTGAGTTTACAGAGTTGTGCAAACCACCACAATCCACTTTTAGAACATTTCTATTACTTCAAAAACACTTCCTCTAGTTCATTTGTAAGCAATCCCCCTCTCTCTGACCCCTGCCCTAGGCAATCACTGATTTTTTTGTATCTATAAAGTTATCCTTTCTGAACTTTTCATATTAATTAAATTGTGTGCTATGTAGTCTTTTACACCTATCTTCTTTCTGTTACCATAATGTTCTTTTTTTTTTTTTTCTTTCCTAACTAGGTGCCTTTATTTCTTTCTTTTCTTTCTTTCTTTTTTTTTTTTAAATATATTTTATTGATTTTTTTTGGCCCCCCTCCCTCCCTCCCACACATCCCCTCCCTCCCCAGAGTTTTATGTCCATTGATTGTACTTAAGCATAATATTCTTGAGACACATCCATATTGTAGCATATACCAGTAGTTCATTTCTTTTTTACCGCTGAATAGTATTCCCTCTACAACTTTTCTTTGTCCATTCACCAACTGATAGACATTTAGTTTGTTTCCACTTTTTGGCTATGATGCACAATGCTGCTATGAATATTCACATGTAAGTCTTGGTGCGAACAGATATTTTTCATTTCTCTTGGGTAGATTCCAAGGAATGCAATTGTGAATAAACTTACGTCTTTTTTTCTCTCAAAGGCATCAGCTATATTGTGAAAATAACATGTTTTTCTGGTTAGTATAAGGAAGCCTAATATAGTAGTTCATTTTAAACTCCTTAGGTAATTTGCTTATTTGGGGAAATAACAGCTCAGCTTTGTTTGTTCATAAATTTCTATACAAGCCCTGAATATTAGCTGAAATAAAATACTGAGTAGATACCAATCATTTATTAAACGTATACACTAGAATGTGCTGTGGTAATATTAGCATATTTACTTTTGTTTAAAGTCTATTATAAATCTTCAACCAACATTCTTTTGCTAATCCATTCGTAAAACTTTAATATTGAATATTTTGTCTATTTTATGACACTATATTTGTAAAAGTTGAATGTTGTTTTTTAGTTTACTAAATAAAATCTCATTTTTTAAAATAAATCCAATGATGAAAACTATAGTTATATCAACCTTAATCTGCTAAACTTCTATTAATCCATTACCTAGTTATTGTAAATTTTATTATAGGTGTGTTTGAATAAAAATAAACATTAACCCACCAGTCAGTGTGGCTTAGTGGTTGAGCTTCAACCAATGAACCAAGAGATCAGCGTTTTACTCCCAATCTGGACATATACTACCAAGGTTGTGGGCTCCATTCCCTGTGTGAGGTGTGCAGGAAGCAGCTGATCAATGATTCTCTCTCATCATTGATGTTCCTGTCTCTCTTTTCCTAGGCCTTCCTCTCTGAAATCAATAAAAATATATTTTTAAAATTATAATAAAATAATAAACATTAACATGAGATTAAGAAATTTTAATACTTTCCTCAACTAGAAGATATGACATTAATTATATACAATATATATAGAAAGTGCTATTTACCATAGTTTTGGACGTGTGTGTGTGTGTGTGTGTGTGTGTGTGTGTGTGTATGTGTTTTAATAAAGGAGAGTAAGGTGAATTAAATTAGATTTGTTTTCCGTTTATGTTATGATCTTCGTACAATTGATTTTTACTCTAAGGTTCAAAATGTGATGTAAGTGATGTTGCTATATTGTTTGAAGTTAAAAATTAGTATGATAGAAAAATTCATACTTTAGGCAAATGATAGAATTATTTACACATTTGTTTTTATAATATACACATTTTCTATTTTAGTTTCATAGTTACTATTTTATATTTCAAAATAAGCTGTTATAAATTACATTAATTTTTTTAATCTACTGATAATTTAAATATTTTTAGATTTACTTGCTTTCCAATGTTTATATTAGGCTAAATATATGTGAAGAATTGCAAGATGTAGAATGGAACTTATTAATGATTATATAACCATTATTTTATGTCCATCATGTGCATTTTAAGAACATCAAATAAGGTAAATGTATATTGGACCATATGTTGGATCTATGGAATTGACCAATTAATGTTTTAATTTCCAAGATAATGTCTTTAGAGTTCCATATGGTTTTTTACATTAATTATATTTTCATCATAGATATTTACTTTTCTGGGGTTTTTAAGAACACATTGATGCATGGGTTAATCTGCTTTTAACAAAATGTTAAGAGTAATTTTATGAGCTGGGTTGTAGTACATTTTAACAGTGTTGTGTGTTAAATAGAGAAGAGCATACAATAGTGATATTTTAAGTATTACGTGTCAACACATTTTTCTTAAATAACATGAATATAGTGTTTGTATATTTTTAAAAATATCTTTGTTTTTAGTATTTCAGAAAAGAAGTGATTTATCTTTTAACAGCATATATTCTAAAAAACAGACTATAATAGAAACTGTCTTCCCTTAAAATGGCCAGCCGTGTGGGCCATAATGTTCATTGATAGTAAAATCAATAGAGCATTGATTCTAAACTTAATACTTGGAGACTGTTGTTTAGAGTGGCAGAAAAGCCAAGTAAATATCTAGTTCTGTTAATTGTGTTCTGTGCATGAGGCTTTGCTGTCTTAAATTGAGCTGTACACTGAGTACAGTTATCTGTGGGCTAGAAAATAGTCGCTGTTAAGAGAGATGTAGTATTTCATCATTGGTGGTGATAAAATGTTTGATATAAAATTCATAACTGTGAGTCCTGCTGTGTTTTCTTTCAGTACAGATCAAATTTAATACTTAATAATGCTCTTAGGTAATGGTTGCTACTTTCTTAGGTGTTCTTTATTAATAACCACACTTTTTACATGAAGTTATTTCATAAGAAAGGTTAGTTGAAATTAATGATTTTTATAGTCACCTTTTGTTCCCCTCAACAAATCTGAAGTGCATTATAGATTTAGAATAATTCAAGACTTAACATTCATTGGATTTCATTCAATTGTTGTCATCTTGCATTATAGCACTTGAAATCTTTTTACCAATCCATTTATAATTTAAAATCAGTCCATTTTTACAAAGATAGATTTAAATATAAATTTTTGAGGAAAGGAATGATAGCTTTTGATGAACTCATATTATTATGCTTTTCTGTTCGTGTTCAAGAATTGCTATAATATTGAAAAAAGGAGAATATTTAAATATTGAAATTTTTCTGGTCCAGCCACTACACAACATTTTAATTTGTAGACTCTTTACACAATTTGTCTTTTAAGAGTTCAGTACTAATTAATGTCCTTTGCTGTAAACATTAGTTATTATGATATCTATTGTTATTAATAATTTAACTTGATCTAAGTCAAGTTTTCTAGATTTGCTAATAAAATATATTTTGAATTTATAATCACTTTTTCTGCTAAAAAAAAAACTTGCATGTAATAACTCCGCTGCTTTATTTTTTAAGCATATTTCCAAGGTATCAATTTAATAACTATAAAAGTAGCTACTGCAGTTGTTGCATTTAAATTGATTTACATGAAAAGACTGGCAGTTTAGCAGCTGCGCTATTATTCTTAGATCAGTCAATTTACTTGAGAAAAACCTACTACTGAGTGCTACTGACCTGCCTGACAATATAGGCCCTATTTCTATTCCTGTAATTAGGCCTGGGACTAACTCAGAATATTTTTAATTAAAATATTTTGGTCAATGTGTTGCACCAAATTAGGCCTTTCAGTGAAGATTTAATTCTGGAAATAGTGTGATTAGAATATTTAATGAGTTGTGTTTCACTAAGATTAACAGGTTGTGTGAACATACAGTGTTTGTGACCATTTTGAGTTTTACAATCATAAATGCTACTCCTGATTTTTAACCTTAAAAAACATTTGCCACAGTAACTGTCTAACAGGTATATTTAAATTTAATTGAAGTTTTATTCTAAAGAAAGCTGATTTAAATGCGTTTTTAGGCAAGCTTTTATTTATGGTCTCCCCTTCCAGCAAAGCCAAAAGTGAGAAAATTGCCACTTAAATGTTTGCAAATAAACAGTTTTATTTAGAAACCTGACATAAACATAAGTTTACACACCTCTAATTTGGCATTTTTTAAATTCTCTTTCATAATGTGAGCAATGCAAAATTAAAAGAGCTCATTTTATAGGCTTTTACATTATTAAGTTTTGATAAAATAATATATATGTTTCAACCTTGAACTATGGTACAGAGGTGGGGGGAAAAGGCATTGACTGAAAAATTTACCCTGAATTTGATTCAATTAATGTATAATTCATGGTAACAAATAGAGCTCTTATCTTGATTGTTTTTTCCCCCCATCGAGATCCTTCCTTTCGTTGCTGACTTCATGGTTGGGCCTTTGCAGCAGACTGTGATAGAGAGAGACTATATGGCACCTTTAGTTTAGATGGCATTCCCGAAATCACATCATGGGGTCTCCTGAAAACATAAGATCTGGTGTCTACAGTATATTACTAGTACCTTTTTGAAGGTTGTCTGTGACTGGACCTACGTACAGTGTTTTCAATTTATAGGCCGCTGTAATGCTGATAATTTACATGAATGTTACCTATTTGGAGGAATTTTTTTCTCTTTTTAAATATGGGTATAAATAAAGTTTTTCATTTTTATTTCAAACTTCCCTTGAAAAACTGTTATATTTGCTACTGTAGGTATGATGATATTCTGATCAATGGACTTCCAGATTGGCGACAGCCTGTATTCTACTACAGGCGGGTGAGAAAAATGAGCAATGCTGAGCTGGCATTACTTTTGTTCATTATCCTCACAGTGGGTCATTATGCTGTGGTGTGGTCAATCTACCTGGAAAAACAACTGGTAAGTAAGTATTGGTAATAAATCAAATGATCCTAGCCTCCTTAATTTTATATGGAATTTCAAACATTTATTTTCAACTGATGAAAAGTTCAATGTTTTTATAAATACTTCTCATTTTAATAGTTTTGTGCTCAGTAGTTAGTGTTTGATATGTTTCTAAGTCAAGAAGAGCCCAGGTTAAAAGAAGAAAATATCCTTCTTTTTAAAAATGTGACTTTGAGTTTGTTATAAAATTTTGTGAAGATTCCATTATCTAACTGAAAATTAGAAGGTAGAAACTAGAGCCACGTTTTCTTAATTATCACCTTCCAAATAGAAATATTTTTCATGTAAAAATGATTTTAGAAATTTTTGTGTCACAGGCTGTTATATAAACAGTGTTTACTTTAAAAGTTTTTAACTAAGACTTGAAATTAGTATAATTTTATGATTTCATAGATCAATTGGTAAAAAGGTTATTGCATTTTTTTAGTCTAATAAACTCTACTACATAGTTTATTCTGCTGTGGATCTCTATATGCTAAAAACAAACATCAGAATTAACATCTATTTACTCATTCTTTTTGAAGTAACATTACTAAAGTTGGGTGAATGAGAAAAAGTTGAATACTCTCTCTGCTTAGAAAACTTTGATTGCTATGGAGATAGACTTGACTGACAGTTCTAAACTTCATGTGTGTTTAAGGACTGGATACTATGACAACAGTTATTGTTAAAGATTGATGATTTTACTTAATCATGTTGGACCCTACATACATTTGCATAAATGTTCCTTTATAATGTTTACCCTTCACAGTAGACTCTTGATAACATTTGAAGAGTACATGTTAATGATAACCTCTGACTATAATTCTTTCCACATTAAGGATGAACTGCTTGGTAGAAAAAAAAGAGAAAAGAAAAAAAAGGCAGGTGGCAAGACTGTGGATTTATCAAAACTTGGTGCTTCAGAAAAAAATGAAAGGTAGGACCATTATAAAAATATTTTATAATTTGAAACTGTTTTAAAATATTTCTTTAATGTAATCCAGTTTCATGTATCCATTTCAGACATGCTAGCATTTACATCTATAATAGGTTTTTTAAAAGACTAATAATGCGCCATATTTGTTTGTGAGACAAATTCTGATCTTAAGCAAAAATGCTACTTTTTCCTCTTGTGATGTGTTAATATATTTAAGTAATTAAACCCCCAAATTCTTATAGTTTAAAATTTGTAGACTGAACTTTAGAAACAGTACTACTAGATGAATCTGTCATTTAGTGTTTTGTTCAGGAGTGACAATGTGTATAGAGGCAGTGATATGCAGAACACTCTGAAAGATACTACCATTTCTTCTATCGATTTATAGAAAGAAAGAAAGGGTTTAAATAGTTCACACAGCAGGGCAGAACTGGATCAATGTAAGATGGAGATCAGAGACTATTCTGCAAGTCTTCTGTTCTGATGACATCAGTGAGTAATGCTTCAGTGAACTGCAAATGACATTAATTTTTATGTATTGGTTTGTTTATGCTACAGTCTTCATATCTGCTTGTCAGCACTGGGGAACACTCTGATGATGTTTAGTCTTTTATAGCTGAAGTAATCATAAGGTTTGAGAATTCATTTTGCAGAACTGATGAAAGTCTAGGTTGGAAAGGGATCTTTTGTTTCTTTATCTTTATAACTTGAGTAGGAGTCTCCTTTTCCAAATTCTTAGCTTCCTCTTACTTGCTATACATACTGCATTTATTGTAACTACTGTATTTCTTGATAGAATAAGTCAAAATAAATGATAATCAACACAAGTATTTCATTGAAAATTTCTTTTTTGTTGAAAGTCATTCAAAACAGAAATTATGATCTTTATAAAAATGTTTTATCTCACAGCTTTCTGTCAATATTTTTGCTTCTTTGCTTTTTTCCCCCCCCTTTAGATTACTGATGAAACCACAGTGGCATGATTTGCTTCCATGCAAGCTGGGGATTTGGTTTTGCCTTACACTAAAAGCATTGCCTCATCTAATCCAGGTAAAATGTAACTCTTTCATATAATATTAGATGCTTTCATTTTAATTATTCATGAAATAATTTATTCTCATGTTTGCTCGCTGAATGCTGATGTACAGTGGATGCTTCTAATGTTGATTGAACTGAATAGTATTTTTGTAAACCTAATTTAGAATGGTTCTAAAATAATTTAGTTATCTACTCTTATAACTCTTACATTGCTTTTAGGACACCTTAGAATCCCAAGACACTGGAAAAATAGGGGAAATGCTATCTATAGAACAGAAATAAAAGCAATAAAAATTTAATCTGCTGTTATTATTTAAGGCATATTCAGTAAAAAAGAACAGGGCTCAAATAGCTTGTCACACATTATTTTAGTAGCACTTAAATATATAGTATAAGAAAAAAGTTTACATGAGCACCTAATTATGCAAAAATGTAGTTTTCCATTTTATTTGCAACTTTAAGTGGAGTGAAGATGTTCTGTCTTTATTTTTATTTATTTATTTATTTTACATATTTTAATGATTTTTTTTTTGCCCCCCTCCCTCCCACATATCCCCTCCCTCCCCAGAGTTTTATGTCCATTGGTTGTACTTATATGCATGTATACAAGTCCTTCGGTTGATCTATTATCACCCCCAGATCCTCCTCCCCTCCCCGCTATAATTTGACAATCTGCTTGTTGCTTTACTGTCTCTATATCTATCTTTTGGTTCATCAGTTTATAATGATCTTTATTATCCACAAATGAGTGGGGTCATGTGGTGTTTCTCTTTAATTGATTGGCTTATTTCACTCAGCATGATGTTCTCCAATTCCATCCAGGTTGCTGCAAATGATGAGAGTTCCTTCTTTTTTATGGCAGCATAGTATTCCATTGTGTAGATGTACCATAGTTTTTGGATCCAATCATCTGCTGATGGGCACCTAGGCTGTTTCCAAATTCTGGCTATTGTAGATTGTGCTGCTATGAACATAGGGGTGCATATATCCTTTCTGATTGGTGTTTCTAGTTTCTTGGGATATATTCCTAGGAGTGGGATTACTGGGTCAAATGGGAGTTCCATTTTCAGTTTTTTGAGGAAATTCCACACTGTTCTCCACAGTGGTTGCACCAGTCTGCATTCCCACCAGCAGTGCACGAGGGTTCCTTTTTCTCCGCAACCTCGCCAACACTTGTCGTTTGTTGATTTGTTGATGTTGGCCATTCTGACAGGTGTGAGATGGTACCACATTGTTGTTTTGATTTGCATCTCTCTTATAATTAGTGACTTTGAGCATGTTTTCATGTGCCTTTTGGCCTTCCTTCTGTCTTCTTTTGAAAATATTCTATTTAGGTCCATTGCCCATTTCTTAATTGGATCATTCATCTTCCTTTTATTTAGTTGTATCAGCTGTCTGTAGATGTTAGAGATTAAACCTTTATCAGTGGTGTTATTTGCAAATATGTTCTCCCATACCGTGGGCTTTCTTGTTGTTTTGTTGATGGTTTCTTTTGCTGTAAAAAAGCTTTTTATTTTGATGTAGTCCCATTTGTTTATTTTCTCTTTAGCTTCCATTGCCCTACGGGCAGTATCAGTGAAGAAGTTCTTTTGGCATACACTGAGATTTTGCTGCCTGTGGATGCTTTCAGTATTTTTATGGTTTCCCATCTGATGTTTAAGTCCTGTATCCATTTTGAGTTTATTTTTGTGTATGGTGTAAGTTGGTGATCTAGTTTCATTCTTTTGCATGTGTCTACCCAATTTTCCCAACACCATTTATTGAAGAAACTGTCTTGACTCCATTGTATATTCGTGCCTCCTTTGTCAAATATTAATTGAGCATAGTGATTTGGGTTGATATCTGGGTTCTTGATTCTATTCCATTGATCTATATGTCTGTTCTTGTGCCAGTACCAGGCTGTTTTGAGAACAGTGGCTTTGTAATACAGTTTGAAGTCTGGTATTGAGATCCCTCCTACTTTATCCTTCTTTCTCAGGATTGCTGTGGCTATTCGGGGTCTTTTATTGTTCCAAATGAACTTCTGGAGAGTTCTTTCTAGGTCAGTGAAATATGCCCTTGGTATTTTAATGAGGAGTGCATTGAACCTATAGATCGCTTTAGGAAGTATGGACATTTTGATGATGTTGATTCTACCAATCCATGAACATGGTATGTTCTTCCATCTCCTTCCATCATCCTCTATCTCTTTTTTCAATGTCGTGTAATTTGCTGCATATAGATCCTTTACTTCCTTAGTTAAATTTATTCCTAGGAATCTTAATTTTTTTGGTGCGATGGTAAATGGAATTGCTTTTTTAGTCTCTGTTTCTGTAGTTTCACTGTTGGTGTATAGAAATGCCATGGATTTCTTGGCGTTAATTTTGTATCCTGCTACATTGCCAAATTCATTTATTAAGTCAATTAGTTTCTTAATGGAGTCTTTTGGGTTCTTTATGTACAATATCATGTCATCTGCAAATAAGGAAAACTTTACTTCTTCTTTTCCAATATGGATGCCTTTTATTTCCTCCTCTTGTCTAATTGCAATGGCTAGTACTTCCAGTACTATGTCAAACAGGAGTGGCGAGAGTGGGCATCCCTGTCTTATTCCTGTTCTTAGAGGGAATGGTTTTAGTTTTTGCCCATTGAGTATAATGTTGGCTGTGGGTTTATCATATATAGCTTTTATTATGTTGAGGTATGATCCTTGTACTTCCACCTTGTTAAGAGTTTTTATCAGGAAAGGGTGTTGTATTTTATCAAATGCTTTTTCTGCATCAATTGATATGACTATATGATTTTTATCTTTCAATTTGTTTATGTGATGTATCATGTTTATTGATTTGCGGATATTGTACCAACCTTGCATTCCTGGAATAAATCCTACTTGGTCATGGTGTATGATCTTTGTGATGCTCTGCTGGAGCCGATTTGCTAGGATTTTGTTGAGGATTTTGGCATCTATGTTCATGAGGGATATTGGCCTGTAATTCTCTTTCATTGAGTTGTCTTTATCTGGTTTTGGTATTAGGGTGATGCTGGCTTCATAGAAGGAGTTTGGAAGTGTTCCTTCCTCTTGAATTTTTTGGAAAAGTCTGAGGAGGATAGGTTTTAGTTCTTCCTTGAATGTTTGGTAAAACTCTCCTGTGAAGCCATCTGGCCCTGGACTTTTGTTTGCTAGAAGCTTTCTGATGACTGTTTCAATTTCTTCCCAAGTCACTGGTCTATTGAGATTTTTAGATTCTTCCTGATCGAGTTTTGGAAGTTTGTATTTTTCTAGGAATATGTCCATTTCCTCCAGGTTGTTCAGTTTGTTGGAATAGAGTTGTTCATAGTATTTTGTAACAATCTGTTGTATTTTGGTGCGGTCTGTTGTTATTTCACCTCTTTCATTTCTGATTTTGTTTATTTGGGTCCTCTCTCTTTGTTTCTTATTGATAGTTAGCCTGGCTAGAGGTTCATCTATCTTGTTTATTCTTTCAAAGAACCAGCTCTTGGTTTTGTTGATCTTATGTATTGTTTTTTTGGTCTCTATGTCGTTTATCTGTGCTCTGATTTTTGTTTTTTCCTTCCTTCTGCTTACACTGGGCTTTTCTTGTTGCTCCTTTTCTAACTCTTTGAGTTGTAGAGTTAGATCATCTGTTACCCTTTTTTCTAGTTTTTTTGCAATAGGCTTGTAAGGATATGAACTTCCCTCTCAAAACTGCTTTTGCTGTGTCCCATAGATTTTGGATTGTTGTGTTTTCATTGTCATTTGTTTCCAGGATGTTTTTAATTTCTTCCTTGATTTTTCTGGTAACCCAGTCCTTGTTTAATAGCATGCTGTTTAGTCTACATGTGTTTGATTTCTTTGGATTATTTTTATTGTAGTTAATTTCCAGTTTTATGCCATTATGGTCTGAGAAGATACTTGATATGATTTCTATCTTCTTAAATTTGAAGAGACTTTGCCTATGTCCCCAAATGTGGTCTGTGTTTGAGAATGTCCCATGTGCACTTGAGAAGAATGTATATTCTGTGGCTTTGGGGTGGAGTGTTCTGAAGATGTCAATTAATTCCATCTGGTCTAGTGAGTCACTTAGGATTGATATTTCTTTGCTGTTTTTTTGGTTAGATGATTTGTCGAAGGGTGACCGTGGGGTATTAAAATCTCCTACTATGATTGTATTGCTATTAATCTCTCTCTTAATGTCCTCCTGCAGTTTTTTTTATGTATTTGGGTGATCCTGTATTGGGTGCATATATATTTACCAGGGTTATTTCTTCTTGTTGGATTGTTCCCTTTAGTATTATGAAGTGGCCTTCATTATCTCTTGTTATGTCCTTCACTCTGAGATCTAATTTGTCAGATATAAGTATTGCTACCCCACCTTTTTTTTCATTTCCATTTGCCTGGAAAACTTTTTTCCATCCCTTCACCCTCAGTCTGTGTGCATCTTTTTTTCTGAGTTGGGTTTCTTGTAGACATCAGATGTATGGGTCTTGTTTTCTTATCCAGTCTTTTGATTGGAGCATTTAATCCATTTACATTTAAGGTTATTATTGATAGGTACTCATTTAATGCCATTTTTGTTCTATACCGGTGTTCCTTCTTCACTTCCTATTTCTTTATTTTTACAGTAGACCCTTTGGCATTTCTTGCATTGCTGGTTTGGTGGAGATAAATTCCTTCAGTCTTTTTTTGTCTGTGAAACTCCTGATTTCCCCTTCAATTTTGATTGATAGCCTTGCTGGGTACAGTATTCTTGGATTCAGACCCTTCATTTGCATGACTTTGTATATTTCATCCCATTCCCTTCTGGCTTGATATGTTTCTGTTGAGAAATCAGTTGCTAATCTGATGGGGGTTCCTTTGTATGTAACTTTCTGTCTCTCTCTGGCTGCTTTTAAGATTCTTACTTTGTCATTGTTGTTTGCCACTTTAATTATAATGTGCCTTGGAGTCTGTCTTCTGGGATTCATTTTGCTTGGGACTCTGCGAGCATCTTGGATTTGTGTGGGTTTTTTCTTCTCTATTTCAGGAAAGTTTT